AGCTTAAGTATATTATATATGAATCTAGATGGAATGGTTTAGTGATATGCCCGCAAATTCGTGTACTGTTTGTTAATGAAATTAAAACAATATCAAAGCCGTCATTTAACTTATGTAAAAATAATGTAAATCCTCAATGAGCATCTTTCATTGAAGGATGAATATGCATAAATCATTATTTATCACTGGAATCTAAATGGAATTTTAAAGAAGTGGGAGAACAAATTATGTGATTAAATGAAAAATGCAATAGGATAGAATCAGCTATTGTAATTCCGTATTTATTAAGCATTTCTAAGCTAAAATAATTTGATGTAGGTCGATTTATGATTAACGGATCATGCTTTAGGTCATGTTACAATAGCTTACATTAATCGTTTTTTTTAAGTTGATAATAAATGACTAAGAGAATTATTACAGAATTGAAAACAGCAGAGTGGGTTGTATTTTTAATAATATTTATTCCCCAAAGGAAATTATAAAGCTTTTCCCCCGATTGATTTTTTCCGGAAATACTAAAATAGTGAATTTCGTCAACCTTAATAAGAGATTGAGAGCTTGTACAAATAATACCCTCCACCAAACGATTCTAGCATATCAATATGAATTTGGTTATAGATATTCAGTTAAACATCTATTCTAAACTGCAATATGATATTGGAGTTGAATAGTACATGTTTAAACGTTTTAAACTGATTAATTAGCTCGTTGATGTTTGAGAAACATGATTATTTGTGCTAAGAATAAGGGCAGCCTTACTCCGCAAAACAAGAATAAGCAAAGTGTTAAGTTTTAGGCTGCTAGATATATTATTCGTGATAAAGTTCTATCACTAGTGATCACTGGCCTCAGGCTAAAAACTGTGGGCAAAGAGGCGTTTTGTGATGCACTCAAATAAAATCTCTGATGGATAATGACAAAATTAATTAGAATTACGCAACTTATAGCATGCTGTAAAGCACAAAGGAGTAATAAGCTTTTTACATGAATATTTTTGAGGAGGGGGTTTAGTTAAAAAATTTATAATCTACTATTTATATCCAGTAAAATAAAAGTAAATAAATGGAGAGTTGGTTGGGACGGAGAAGAATGAGGGAACAGTCCATGCGAAATAATAATTGAGTTAAATAGGATGTAAGCTAAACTCTTTTTAACAATTTGGTCGTGCTTTTATGGTGACTTATTTGGACGAACCTTGTCCGAGGTCTTCTGCGATAACTCCCACCGTCGAACCATGGGCTTAGTGCATTCCCTGTCAGTTCGATTGAATCGTTAATGAAACGTGCCAAGCTACAACTTTTGAAAGAAACAAGTGAATACAATCCCTTGACCAGATTTCCCTGTGACGAGTTGTAGCTTGTTGCTGAGAGTGGCAAGACTCACTGATGAAGCCGATTACGCTTCCGGTGAAACGTCTGGGAATGTACCAAGTCCACGGTCCGACGCTTGGAAATCTGATAACTACTATAGCAGAGGACTCTGGACAAGGGGTGTCCAATTAAGTCTCCAATAACTTTGCGTAAATGAGGTCAGATTACATCCATACATCAAAATTAGACTGTGACTAAATAGTGGTCACAGTGTCTTGATGTCTTCCCTTCTAAAGGAAGGGAAGTTAGCAAATGTCATAATATCTATGTAACTAGATCTTTTATTGAAGTTGTTTTACTTTGTTTTCGCAACATGGTCATATTGGTAGGAAGACCTAGAGGAACACACCTTGTCCTGAGTCCATTGTATGCATAGTTATTTCCAAAGACGGACCGGTACATTCCCAGACGATTCACCGGCATCGTCAGTGAGTTTTACCATTCTTAGCACTATATTACAACTCGTAAAAGAGAGAAATGAAGTCGATTCTTTGACCTAACGTGTGCTAAACAGTTATGGTATCTCCCATTTTGCCTTGGACTATTCACATTTCCTATATCCTCTAATCACGCCTTCAATGTCACAATATTCTACTTGTTTAACTAACTGTGGTATGGTGTGCCCTTTTGAGCGGCTTCAATCAGAACCCTCCGCACTCCCGGCTGGCCTTCTTACCGCTCTTCATCATTGTACTGGGAATGTTGATCAGAGTCGCCCATTTTGTTACGCAGTCCTCCTTCCCTAGGTCTTACCACAGTCTCTCTCTTGCCCTGTAAGATCCGTCTGCCCTCTCCCTGGTTCACATATTACAATTGACCCCTGCCACCCAATCTGTGCCACCCGAGGCGTTATTGGACCTACCCTGCGTCTGAGTAACTAATTCTAGGCTCAAGCCTCTGAGTAAGTGCCATAGTCAGGCTAATGCCCGATAAACCACGTCTCTTATAAAAACTACTGTCAGCCCACTAGCTGCCATTGCCGCCGCGTCCCATGCTCTAGTCTCTTGTGCGCCAACCCACAAATGTTGTGGTACTGCTTGCTTTGGTTAGGTTCAATCTTGAACCACAACGTTTGTGGGTTGGCACACAAGAGACTAGGGAATGGCAAGTCATAAACTTGCTATTAGAGATAGAAATAGGATAGACGCAACGGCAATGGGAGCCAGTGGGCTGACAGTAGTCTTTATAAGAGTCGTGGTCCATGTGACAAAAGCCTGACCATGATACCCAGACACAGAGT